TATTATCACATGTACTAGTTAACCCCAGATTTAACAACCACCGCTATCTAAGACCCCATTTCCAGAGATTAGATCGATCTACTTTAGATCGACCTAACTCCCTGGGGGTTCACGCTAAATAGCTGTCAGCCGGGCGGACACGAATGTTAATTACCCCCTTACAGCTTGTAGTAGGCGGGACGGACATTTAAGCCGGATTATCTGACAGTAATCTAGTGAAACTCCCCGCGGGGATAGATCGATCTAAAAGCTCTGGGAATACAGCCTAATAATATACTTAACACTATTTTTCAGTAGTTGTAAACAAATTTTAAGTCCAAAAGTAAATAGCGCACTGGATTTAATTATACCTGAAGGTTAAAAACTAACAAAAAGGTGAGGTGGGTAATTTGATAATTTTAAAAAGATAAAGGATAATAAAAGATAGGGTGACAGGCTCAGTCGGAAAACAAATTGAGATAGATACACAGTGCCACAGAAAAAACTCCGCGTATCATAAATATCTCGGAAGCCAATTAAGCAGCTTATTTTCATTATTATCATTGAAATATCTTTTAATAAACAGAAGGAAACTAGCCGCATGCAATAAAATCGTGGTAATCGGATGCCTTGAAGTCAGCCACGAGGAAGAGATGTAATCGCTTATACTCAGCATAACGTGACTACTTTCCCCAAGACGTCATTGCGATAAGACGACGTGACAAGCCCAATGATGTTTGAACAGTCTTACAGCGATCTCTGAGTGCATGTTACGCAACTCATGAACCTTAAAACGTCAGTACACTGATATCGTTTGATATAATATGCGTACGGTACCTCTGCCTTTACCATGTACCTTTAAATCTGATTGACAAGAAGCACTTTGTCGACATACAGTGTATCTTTCAAAATAAAAAAAACGCACTCAGCTCATATCAAAGTATTCATGTAATAATAAATTGGGTCAAAACGTTGAAACGATACTACAAGTACACTGTATAGTTGCAAGGTAAACGGTATATAAACACACTTAGGCTGATCTAATGTCAGCACCATTGGAGGGATATAACGGCCATTTTGGTGGTACCTCTCCCCCTCCTCCGCACCGCAGCTTAATTTCCATTAATAATAAAATCATCATTTAGTCAAAAATATTCTCGAAATTAAAAAAAAAAGTTTCAATATTCTTAGTTACCCAGAACGGTATATTTATTTAAAAGGAGGCTAACTTTGCATACGTGGACCCCCCCCCCCCCCCTTCGAATAATCCTGGGCTCCGTATCTCGAAAGGTTCGCTATGTTCCGCACGTGCGCAAGCGTCTCGATTCCATGACCCCGTATTTCGAAATAGAATCGGTTATGAAATCGAGACACTTGCGCACGTTCGCAACATAGCGAACCTTTCGAGATACGGAGCCCTGGCCAAAAAAAATTGTACGCACAGTGCATCCGTGCGTATGCCTAGTTACGCCCATGAGAGAGTATAATGGAAGACACTAGAGAAAAGCAGGGCGTCTTTTTTCATCACCTATATATATTACAGTGTTGAAAAAAGTGTTTAAATATGTAAAACTGTGCACCCGCGTCCCTTTTTCAGCTTCGATTAAACTAAGATGTTCCAAAAGTTTGACCCCCTTGATTAAACATACGTGTACCGGTAGTTATTAACACGACAAAAATTAATGAATCCATTCATTGTGAGCACTATCTATATATGTGATATCAAAGTCAATATTGCTAAGGGCTGTTATGAACGTGCTGAGGATCGCCTCTGACGTCATGCATGCATAGAGAACGTGTCTCAGTGTAAACTACTGGTCACTACGAGTGGTACACTAGCTGGGCCTGCTTATTCTGAAATAATTCCCCCCCCCCCCCCCCGACAGTGAAATTTAAAAATTCGCAAGCATTTTCGGTGACTTCACGTTATATTTTTGTTTAAGGTTTGTATTTCTTCATAAAACATTGTGCAAATTCTAAAGCAGTAAAGTCGTCTGGTTTGTTAATCTGAATTAAGAAGTTAAGTCCAAGATTCATTTGTGTTGGTTTGATGTTAAAGAGTGGGAATCCCCACAAATGGTTAGAATGTACCTGAGCAAGCAACCAGTGAACATTAAATGATTGAAACTGGCTATTGTCGTTAGCTTTGGATTTCCTAATAGCGGTTTACACGTAAATATTTTGACCACGATTCTTGGAAAGTAGTATTAACGCGCTATCCAACCTAAAAGAATACAGCGGTGACCGCATTCCGAGCCTATTTGTAATTTTCATTCATTTGCGAGCTTCCCGTTCAATTTTACTTCAAATTAATCTATGTTCTCTGCTTCAAATTGATTTAATATCAGGAAACAATATTATGTATGTATGTATGCTAATATAGATTTTAGGTCCTAGGCCCTCTCAGAATGTACCGGTTCAGAGAATTCTACCGTTCATTGGGGACGGGTCCTAAATCTCATGAGAGACAAAGTAAGAAACCTGGGATCGAGATCAAGGCCGCCTTCTGTGGTCAGGTTAATAATATTTATACTCTCCCAGGAAAACAACATGGGTGATTCACCGGTTACCTTAGCAACGCGGATCTGAGGTATATGTTTTGACGTCATCACGTGTCACGTCTATCGTAACACGTCCGTCTCTTCATTCCACACTCGCGGAACTAAGCAGTGTCAT